GCCTCCCAAGAAGACAACTCTACTTCCAAGGCATTAACTGCCTTGGCCCCAAACTCTGTGGAAACCCAATATTCCATAATTTGTGATTGTGCAAAGAAATTCATCTTACCATTTGCTCACATGGTAACTCTGGTTTATCTTCAGATCGTATAAATCGTTCACCTTTTACCATTTGTTCACATGGTCATCCCATTACTTAAGTACAACTAGGGTATCTACTCCTCAGCAAATAAATCCTTCTGTGGTTGGAAAAGAATATCAGAAATGGGCCGGGGATTTAGCTCAGTGGTTTCACCGCCTGCTGTGCAAGCGCAAGGACCCTAGTTCGATCCCCAGTCCAAAAAAAAAAAAGAATGTAAAGACTAGGTTGGGAGGTGATTAAAGCATAATTCTAAAACTGAAAATCATTCCTAAACCTCTGAAAACAAAAGTAATAAGGATAAAATAGATTTATACCATTTTTAGACTTAGTTGTCCCTTCTAGTTTTGGGTATTTAAGAACCCAGGCTTCCATTCCACAAACAATACAAAGATTAATCTGAAGGTCTTGTGTCCAGGGAGGTCTTTTCTTCTGAGTAACTTGTTTCCATCTATGCCAGCTAGCCTCTATCTACACATATACACGTTTTATTGCTTTACCCAGGATGGTGAACTACCTGGGCCTCATTAATGCAAAAATAGATATTAAAAATTCCTTTCCCCTAGGAAACACATTAGGGGGAATTTGGGGATTTTTAAAAAAATAAGTCTTTCCAGAAAAATGTCATTTTCCCATGGTTTCGCCCTTATGTTCACTGACAATTCTATAGCATTTCAGAAAATAAATATAGAGACTAGAATAATCTTTGGCTATGAGAAAAAATGTTTTAATAACTCTTAAATATTTGCTAATATGAATGAGTGCTGTTTTAATTTTTTAATCTCTTTTTTGATGTTGGTTTCCAAAGGTCTAGCATTTTATTCCTCTATATTAAGAAAAATTAATTAATTCATTAAGTATCTTAATGAAATTAAAGACTAAAATTTTTTCTTATTTCCACTTTTAATGAGTTGTCATTTGCATTTCTTTTAAGGCTTAATCTTTTGAATTCTTTAATTTAGATAATGTCTGCTAGACTGTTCTAATAAAATTATTTAGAAACCTAGACATTTATTATCACTTTAACAAGACTTCTTGACTTTTTCTCTATGACTGTAAATCAAACTAATACTGTAAAACTATTCAACAGTATGACCAATAGTTTCTGAACACAGGTAATTGATAGTAAACACTTCTTTTTGAAATTTAGAAGTTATAATGTTACCGTGTGACTTCCTGAGTTTCCACTTTCAGTGTACTTTAAGAACAGACTGGAATACATAGCCTCACTTCCTTCTCTTTTTTGTCTTTATTAGTACATGTTTGAAGTAATCATAAGGAGCTGTAGAGAAAGCGGCTGTATTTCCTTCAGAAGAGCATTTGAAACTCACACATCTAAAGACCAAGTCTTCGAGGCAACAAAAACAATGGACATTGATACAGGGTAGGTGACTGGTGAGCCTAGCAGTTGTCCACTCTGTTTCTGAAGATATATCACTACAAAATCAGCTATGCAAAGAAATTTTTTAAATTATTGTTTTTATTCACTTGTTTAGTAAATATTTATAAATAAATTAATGGTTGAATAAATGAATGCAAGAATGTCCATTATGTACCAGTCCCTGCAGACTGCATAGTTTGTATATACAGTGAGTCCAAAATACATGGTTGGTCTCAGGGAACCTAAAAGGAAAAAAAGCATGAAATTATTCAAACAAATAAATATCTAATTATTATTTCAATGATAATGTTGATGAGTTGCTATGATTATTAGTGTATTTTTCTCCATATGAAGACTAATACATCCAGGAAAAAGAATTAATTTAAATATAAAACATGGAAATAGTATCACTTTGGGGTGCTGTCATGGAAAGTTTTTCCTCTGAAAAACTACCTCTTGAGAGCTAGTTACATTAACTCCACCTTCCACATCTAATTGGGTGCCATAGCTTCCAAATTTTTTTATCCAGGTATGTCTTGCATGCATTCCCTCTGTTCTATTTCTTCTATTCCTTTTATCCAAATTGGTTTAGTAGATTTCCAGAATCACAGACAGACTAGGAGAAAATGAAAGTAAGAAAAGACCCTAGAGACTATTCTTGTGATGAGGAAACTAAGGCTCCTGAAAGCAAATGTTTTCACTCATAGTTTAACCTGGCCAAGCACCCGCCATTAATTTTTCTTGAGAGCAACCATGGAAAACATTATCAGTTTCCTGGTTACAATCATTCCCATCCCTTCCTCCTTGTAACAAAATTCCACTTCCTAAGAGAGCAGCCAAAGTGACAAATACTTTCCATTCAGGGGTGCCCATGTGACCCAATTATGGCTACTGAGATGTAAAGGGAAATCTGCTGCTTGTTTCTGAGAAATATTTTGCTTCCTGAAAAAAAAAAGAAAAAAGAAAAAAGAGCCACCCTGTCTGTCTGCCTGCTTTCCTTCCTTCCTTCCTTCCTTCCTTCCTTCCTTCCTTCCTTCCTTCCTTTCCTTTCTTCCTTTCTCCCTTTCTTCTTTTGTTTCTTTCTTTTGAGCTGAACCATCTCAGCCTGAGGACCACTGCCTACCCCCCAAAGAAGCCAACATCCAAGGATAGTAGATGAGCAGAGTGGAAAACACATTGAGACTCACAGCTATGAGCCTTGAGCTGACCTTGGGACTGCCCACCTGTAGACCTCTTATTACAGGAGATTACTTTCACTTTACATCACGAATTCTGTTACTTGCAGCTGAGTGTACCCTAAATCTACTACTGCTTTATTACTTTGTTTCCCAGCTACTCCACTCAGCTTCACAGAACAAGAATTTGCCTTTTTTTTTCATTGCTGTATTCCCTGTTCTTAGAGCCTGGCACATAGCCAGTCTTTGATAAAAATGTGTTAAATGACTGGCCAAATGAATGTCCCTGAATCTTGATTGGCTCTCTTCTATAGAATAAAGTCCAAAGAATCAACCTGGCTTTTATGGGCCTTTGTGATATGACCTCAATTTTTCTTTCCAACATCATTTTTTCAGTTCATATGTCCTACAACTCAGAAAAATAGGACAATTTTTTGTCCTTTCCAAACCTGTCTTAGTCATTTGTGCTACTATAACAATATCATAGACTGGGTAATTTACAGAGAGCAGAAATCTTTTCTCGAAGTTCTCAAAGCTGGGAGGTCCAAGATCAAGGCATCACACTCTTAAGTGAAATAAATAGGACACACATGTGTAAATACCGAATAGTTTCTCTGGTGTGAGAAACTGAAACTGTAAATAAGGACTAAATGTATAATAGGTAATGTGAAATAGGAAGAAAAGGGGCAAAGGGGAAGGAAGTAGGAGGGCTAGGGGAAAGGACAGAAGGGAATGGGATTAATATGAGAAAATGAAAAAATAGGAACAAAATCTTTGTAAATAGGGAGGACTGGAGGGGTTGAAAGGAGGGCTGAGCAAGGGTGAAAAACAAGAACCAAGAGAGACTATGTAAAGGTGCAAATTTCCAATGATGAATGTCATTATATTGTATACCTAAAATGTACCAATGATTAGAATGAATAATTGATAATGTAAAATAGGAAGAAAAGGTCCAAAAGGGTAGGGGTAGTGGGAGGGGCAGAGGAAAGGAAAGAAGGAAAAGGAAAAATGCTGAGAAATGGAAAAAATGGAAATAAAGTCTTTGTAAATAGGGAAGGGTGGAGGGCGTGAAGGGAGGGCTAGGAATGGGGAAAAAATAAGAACCAAGATGCATTATGTAAAGGTACAATTCCCACTGAGAAATGTAATTGTGTTGTATACCTACAATGTACCAATAAAAGAATTTAATACAAAAAAAAAAAAAAAAAAAATCAAGGCATCATGAAATTCAGCTGTGTGGTGGCAGCTGCCTTGTCCAGAGCACTAGAGTGCTGTGAGCTCATATGGCAGAAGGAACAAGGGCAAGTCAGACAAAGGCTGCAGGAAGCCTCTTTCTCCTGGGACTTAATGCTATCCAGAAGGGAGAAGCCCACTGGCCTAACACCTCTTAGCAGCCCCACCTCTTGATGTCATTCCATTAGGTAGAGCACACCCCTGTGTTTCCAGTGCAAGGCTATGGCCATGCAACCCTGAGCCTTACTGCAATATGCTCCTGCTCCCACACCTCTCCATTTTCCTCTCATTCCTCCAGCTCCAGATCTCTCCCACTGCGCTGCTTCAGACCCTCCCAGCCACATCTATACCTTTTCTGGGCTGTGCTCCCTTCCCTTTTGTGCCATGTATCACTTTCACAAGTTGATGATAATTATTTTATAGTACTCTGCTAGTACTCATCTCTAAACTCCTTGAGGGTAGTAGGTTTACCCACCCAAGAAGCAAATGTAGTGCTTTATCGAGCAGATACTTAATATATTTTTGTGAGCGAAGAAATAATTAGGATTAAAGCAGGCCATTTGAATTTCCATTTTAAAAATAATTTAGACCCAGAAATGGGTGCTGATGTTCATGGAAGCAAAGGTCTGAAACCACTGCAGGAGAGGAAAGAGACTTGTTGGAAGTGTTAGGAGCAAGCACTGGTGTCTCTTGGCAATGAGAGCAAAGTTTTTAATGGAAGCGGATCCCAATCAATAGAACCAGACAGCTGATGTATATAATGGCATTAAGCTGAAGCAGTGGTCTTTCTCTGCATAGTGCTGCTGTGAAAGGTTTCCGGCTTCTGGACTGGATGACCAGGAGACTCCACAAGTAGATCTGTGATGGTCCCCAGGCAGGGACCCATAGGAGAGCTCCCGCGAGCAACCTCCCCAAGGCTGGACGCGGAGCTGTGACGGCGGAGCCGCTGCTGTGTTTTGGCTGCTGCTGCCCCGGCTGCCACTGGGCAGATTCCGCAGTGAGGGACTGAGCGCGGCGCTCCGGAGCCTGCGTTCAGGCTGCGAATGAGAAGTTCAAGAGAGTGAAGGTGGGGAGCCTTGTAAATTCCAGCAAGACCTCTCAGAGCAGAAGGAAAGCGTGAGCTTGAGCCAAAAATCAGGCCAAGTGGAACAGGAGGAAATGTCATCATTGGTAAAGGAGGACTTGCAGAAGAAACTGTTCAAGCCACTCTCGCAGAATCTGTACGAGTTTATAGAAATAGAGTTCTCGGTCCAGGACAGGTATTACCTCTGTGTGTCAGGTAATCTGCTCTTTATTTTATCATTTCAAAAACCAGATTACCCAAAGGTGTGTGGATGGTAGAGAGGATTTTTTTTTTTGCATTTATTTTCCTATATATGCCTACACCTTCCTAAAATAGAACTTAACTATGCTAAGTTTAAGAATTTGGATCCTACAGTTTTTTAAAATTTTAGTTGCTAAAATGAAAGAAAGAAATTGTATTAGAATGCTTTGATTAAGTGTTCAGAAATGAAATTGGACATGTATTTCTGTTTTGAATCTTATGTCCCTAATCTTTTATTGAATTCATTCACATGGCATGCAATTTTATTGTGTAAGAGCTCATTTTAAAAATTCAACAAAGAAGTCTCTGTATATCTTTAAATACGTTGGAGAATTGAGTTACACAGCTCTCATTTCCAACCATGCTAGACAACAAGGTTTCTCCCTTTTCATCCTAAGACAGAAACCAAACCTTAGGTTTTTCTTCTTAAGATGTATTTAGACTTGAGCTAGTTTATTTTGAAGAGAGAAATTATCTTTTTAAAATTGTTTCTCTTATGAGAAAAAATACTTTCATGATAGAAATTAGTTTGAGAAGATGGAGTTTTAAGGATAAGGCAATGTTCTCTAAAGTATTTCAGTAAAATAAATATTTTCCATCATTATTTTTAAATTCATGACAAATGCCATGAATAGGCTTTTGCACTTAATTCTAATTTGCCTAACCTGTGATTTTTGTGCTGAATTTAGATAGAAATGCTTGCACCATTAATGCAATTAATTTTCGGCCCTCCCTCTCTGGACCCATGCCCTTTAATACTTTTCTGAGTCTTAGGAGGAAACAGCTTATAAACTTTATGTGTTCCCGGCATACTTACCTTATTAAGACACACAACTATAACAGCTTAGGACTGATAATCATCTTAGGACTTTCTAAAGATGTCAAGAGGGAGTACCATAAGGAAATTACAGCATCTTTAAAGGAAGTACTAAGAATTATCTAAAGTCTTCTTTAAAAAATTTTTTAATTTTTTTTGCCCATTTTTATTTCAGTGTGTTAGTACATGTGTGTAGTACAGAATGCTCCTGTTCCTCGTGGGGAGGTGGCACATGCACATAACACATCTCAATTCCTCTTTTAGACCCCCATCTCTTCCTCCATCTCTTGATCTCCTTCCCCTTTGAGAACAATCTCTCTCCCTACTTCTACGATCTAACTTTTATTTTGCTCTTTATTTTCACTCTGGGTTTCTCCTATATGGGAAACCATGTGATATTTAAGCTAGTATGGTTGATTTATTTCACTTAACATTATGGTCTCGACATCCAAATCTTATAATTTCTAATAAATACAATAATATATACCCAAGAGTAAGAATAATAATATTTTTATAACACATACTTTGCTCTACATATATAGTGTGGGGACTTGGCATATCAACAAATACAAAAATGTAATCAAATTAAGAAAAAGAAAGAAATTAAATTATAGAAAAAGGCCAATTAAAATAAGTAAGTTATTGTGTCCTAATAACCAAATCACTGTATCATTACATATTTTTACTTAATCATTAGAGAAGATTCTAATTTTGACATTAAAGTTTGATATTTTGTACCTATTTTGATTCTTATTTTATAAAGCTAACTTATCATTGTACAATACTAGCATACAAGTATTTTTAAAGAAAAACTTAAAAATAAGATAATCATAATAATTTATGTATCTAGTTTACAAAATATACCTTAGTAGCTCCCTCCAAGTTACATAACTAACAAATCTTGTTCTAGTAGCATAAAAGAAGTCTTCTAAGAATTAAATGTTTAGAAATGATTCAAAATTGTATAAGGAAAAATCAAGGTCTTCTCAAAAATGAGGGAGAGAAGACACTATTATGATACTCCAGATAGAAGATGACATTATAAGCCAGGTCAGATCACCAACCTTTCACAACTGTCCTCTGTATCACATCCATTAATATGAGAGCACTTTCCCCAAGTGTAACACCTTTTTATGATCCTGGTAAAACCATTTTGACAGAACAGCTGTTCAAATGATGTTTGGCAGTCCTAAGTCTTTGGCCATGTTTACCCAGAAGATTTCCACGGATAGGAATAAGGTAACACCATAATTTTCGAGGTGGGACTCCATACCTTGAGTGCTGTCCACTTTCAGGGAGGAGAGTCACATAGTTCTCATTTTCTCTTTACAACCTACAATCCAGCAGTTCTACATTTTTAAGACTCATGGATCCAGAGTAGTCAAATTCCATTATGCATTTTTCCAATTAAAAAAATATGTTTGGGATCAGGGATGAAGCTCAGTCATATAGTACATGCTTAGTGTGTGGGAGGTCATGTATCTATCTATCTTTAACTTTCTACTTATCTGACCAGAGTTTGTCTTCTTACAAGAGTCTGGGAACCAAAGTATTGTCATGTCTTGTTAAATCTTGATGACTTTCTGAGGAATGTCAAAATCAGATGTCATAAACTCAATTTTTTTCTCTATAGTTAGCTAGGATGTACACTGGAGCTCTCCTGGGACCTTGGTTTTCTCTACCTCAGAGTTTTCATGGTTATCTTCCCTGGGATTAGCTTCCCTTGGCCAACACCAATACCACTAGCAGTTCAAAGCAGCATCTTCTGATAAAGAAGAGAGGAGCTCTGTAATGTGCAGGCACCAGTAAGGGATAGGTCACTTGTGCAATAAGTACAAATGAGTTCAAGAAATTCAGAAAGACTTAAAACAGTGTATGGAAGCATTAGCCAAAACTGAATGAAAAAAGTAGTGAATAGTGGAACAAACCTCAGAATGGTTGGAATCAGATAAGAAATCTGCCTATGCTTTTTCATCTACCAGCTGTGAAACTTGGGACAAGATAATTATCCTCTCTGGTCTCTGTTGACATCTGTGAAATGAGAATAGAAACCCTTCTATCTGCATAAAGTAATACCCTATTAAATCCTTAATAGGAAAAAATGATAAATTACATTCCAAATAAAAAAAGATTTTTTTAAAGTAGGGTTAAACTTTTAAAATATTCAGGAAATTTATATTTGCTATAAAAATACATGTTGAAATATGTATGACTATACACATTCACAGTAAAAGTAAAATATACAGTAAACAAATATGTATATATTTATTTAACAAGTAATGAAGCATACTATGTTATGTTTCAAATTATATGCATATTCACATATAGATTATTTTTAAGTATTCTCATATCTTTAGAAAAACATTTTCCCTTTATAGGTGTTAATTTGAAAATAAATGGCATTTTCTAGAATCATAAAAAGTCTGCATATTTTCCTACACCCATTGGCTTTTGATGTTAGAACAGAACTTTGTCAAATCATTTATAACAAGAGTGTTAAATAAGATGATAAGCAGAGGAGGTGGCTAACAGTAATTTTAAAGGCTTCTTTTGGAGCTACTGTTGCTAAATTTGTGAATTCTCAGGATCTTAGAAAGTAAAATCACTAAAGAATTTTTTTTGGCAGTACTGGTATTGAACCCAGGGCTTTGCATTTGCCAGGCAAGCACTTTACAGTCATTTTATTTTATAACTCCAGCCATTTTATTTATTTTATTCTGAGACAAAAATCTCACTAAATTTCCCATTTTAGGGGTGCTCTACCACTGAGCTATAGCCCCAGCCCTTTTTATTTTATATTTTGAGATAAGATCTCACTAAATTGCCTAAATTGGCCTTGAATTTGCCATCCTCCTGCTTCAGCCTCCTGAATAGCTGGGATTACAGGTATGTAGCACTGTGCTAAACTTCAGAATAGTATGGAAGCCAGGCATATCAGTGCATGTCTGTAACCCCAGAAATTTGGAAGACTGAGGCAGGAGGATTGCAAATTTCAGCCCAACCTTGGCAGTGTAATGACTTAGCAAGACCCTGTCTCAAAATAAAATATGAAAAGGGTTGGAGGTGTAGCTCAGTGCAGAGGCCCTGAGTTCAATGTCAATACCAGTAAAACAAACAAGCAAACAAAAAGATACCCTAGTTACAATCAGGATCGTGGGATGGGGAATAAACTTTAAATATTAAAGTAGATTTTCTACTTTCAAATTCTTGCACTACCTCTTTTTCCCCCCCTCTCAATGCTGGCAATAATAGAACTCAAGGGCTCAGGTATTATAGGCAACTGCTCTACCACTGAGATACTTAAATGAAGTCTGTCTGCCTCTCTCTGTCTCTGGCTCTGTTTCTGTTTCTGTCTCTTTCTTACACGCACACACACACACATAGATACACACATATATGCACACACAAACTGAGTATTTTGTGGAATATCACTAAATGTCTATATGAAGAAATGTAAATAAAATATTCTGACTCTCCAAATCAGGGTAATTATAGGTGGCGAGAACAATACTGAAATGATGACACTTCTACTTGAGTCTTTTTTGTTAACTTGAAATTTATTTTTTTTTCCATTAAGTTTACTGGCACATTTTAAGTATACAATACAGTTACATTCATCATTGGGATCTTGTACCTTTACATGATATATCTTGGTTCTTATTTTTTCCCCATTCCCCTGCCCTCCCTTCACCCCCTCCACCCTTCCCTATTTATAAAGACTTTGTTTCCATTTTCTCCTTTTCTCATATTTTTTCTTTCCCTTCTTTCCCCTACACCTCCCATTTCCCCTACCCCTTTAGATCTTTTCTTCCTATTTCACATTATCAATTATACATTTCAATCCTTTTTACACTTGTAGTTTCTCACACCAGGGAAACTATTTGGTATTTACACATGTGTGCCCTATTTATTTCACTTAAGAGTATTGCCTCAATGTGCGTCCATTTAGCTTTATGTCTCTAGTTTCTCATTCTTTATAGCTGAGTAGTACTCTATTTTATATTAACAAAAAAAAACACACCTTCTTTATCCAGTCTCCAGTTGATGGGCAATTGGGCTCTTTCCAAGCTTTAGCGATTACAAACTATGCCACTCGCTATAAACATGGGTGCACATATATCACTGTGGTATGATTCTT